CTGATACCCCAATGCACAGCTCGCTGCCAGGCCACAACTCAACACGGAAGATTTGCATGATCTGAGCCCAACTCAGCTGCAGTGGCACCTGCCAGTGTGGCTTCTCAGAGCTTGCATAGGCTCTAGCTCCATCCGGCCAGTGAACTTCCACCTTGGGGAAGCTCAGGAAGCTCAGCCCAGGCACAACTCTGTCTTTCCATGCAGAGGCCCCATGAACTCAGTCTGAACTCTGGCTCCATTCAGAAGGCCACCATGTGCTTCAAGGAGGGAAAGAGTGAAATCCCCTCACTTCATCCCCACTACCTCCTGTAAGCCCAGGCTTTACTCTCAGATAAGCTGTTAATGCAGCATAGATGTCCTAATCACTCCTTTCAGATGAGGGGCAGGGCAGCAAAGTGGAACGGTGAATGACAAGCCCCATCTGCAGGCCACCTCTGCTTGCTGGCTTCCTGCACACCACCTCTCTGTAGATCTGCACACAGTGCCCAAGGAGAGCAGAGGCAGAATTCAGAAGCAGAAATGCAGGCTGCAAACTAAAGAGCCCTGACCACTCTTTGGGACTGAATGTTTTATACATTCAGGCCTGACCCCTGTACACCCACTCACTCATGGGTTGGGAAGAGGGGCAGTTGGAAGGTGTGCCAGGTCACCAGGAAGTAATTTGTGTTTGCCAGGCCCCTCTGAAGTGGAGCAAGAGTCCTGTGTGAGCTGTGGCCTCTGCAGCCCTTGTGACCTAACTAGGCGAGATGGCCATCATCTCCATCCCACCCCTTGATAAACAAAGAGCTGGCGTTTGTCTCTCCTCTTCACTAACATGGAGGCCTAAACTCTGCTGAGCTTATCTATACAATGGATTTCCTGCTGGTGTTGGATCCTCCCCTAGCCCCAGTGAGTAATAATTTATATCGCCTGAGCACACAGACATGCTGACGTCCATGATGCTGGTGGCCTTGGCAGACCCCGATTCCCTCAGTCTGGGTGGGGATCTACAGACGTTAACCCCAGCTGAGCTGACCCACACAGAACATCCCAGTTAGAGAGAGGGAGCAAGAATGGAGAGTCCTGAGAGGGCCTGCAGAGTGCAGGCACCCACCAGCCATGCATTGAGGCCTCCTGTGCGCCAGGCCCAGGCCGGGTGCTGGGTGTTCAGAAATGCAGACACACAGAGTGCAGGAGCATTCCAACCCGCTCCGGATCAGACTTGGGTGATTAAGACCCAGAGCTTAGTTCTGGGGCAGCAGTCAGAACAGAGCTGGCAGAGTGTTGAGGAAGGGTAGATAGTAGAGGGAGCTCGAGGAAAGCATCAGTTCTGAGTTAATGAAAAGCTTTCCTTTCCTGGAAGTCGGTCCTCAGCACTGAGGGCCTGGAGGTGTCGGGAAAGGGAAGTGCCCTTTGGGTTGAGTTAGCACCACCCTGTGCCTCTGTAGTCAGTTTGGGCCATCAGCCAGGGTATTCCAAGGAGGCCCTCTTCTCGGGTACTCCAAGGAGGCCCTCTTCTCGGCTGCTCCTCCGCCCAGGCATGCGGGTGTTCAGCCTCTTGTCAGAATACCAAGGCCCTGGCTGGTCATAGCAAGCATGTTTGAAGGGGAACTGGCCTGGCTCCTGCCAACAACCTCTCTTCCTGACCTTGATAACATCTGGGTGGAATTTTTTTCCCTTTATATACTTAGGCCCATTGGTGTTTGCTTTGACTTTGGATTACGGTATGATTGGCATCTCTGAAATTTCAGGCCCCAAATGTGTGCCGGGTCCTAGAACTGTGAGAAAGCTGGACTTTTGCTAATGGGATTTCGGGTGTGTCCAGGTGGAGCAGAAACAGTGCACTGGTAACTGTTTGCACACAAAATGCAGAGAGCAGCCCCAGCTGGCGGGGAGGGGTCTTCTGCCTGGGGGCAGTGATGGGTCAGGCCTGGTGGGAGGAAGCCTGCGATGGAGTTGGGGGAGGCCTCCTCCCCTTCCTGCCCTTCCTCACTCTACATCCTTCATCACCCTCCCTCCACGTTCCTGGCCCTGGAGTGACCAAACTTGCAAACAGGAAAAGATGTACTAACTGCAAAGAAATGCAATGGGTCCAGACTTAACCCCAAAGCAAACCTCATAAGTGTGGGGTTTGGAGCATGCTTTAAAATGACCGTCATTGTCTGGCTATGTGCAGCGAGGAGCTGCCTGGGGTGTGAGATCAGGATGGAGCTGGGCTTGGGGAGTGGGTCCTCTCCAGGTGCCTCCAACTGGAGAGGAAACCCGTGCCCCACACACCGGCTCACTCCCTGACTTCTCTGGAGTCTCTGGGGTGAGTCCTATCTTATCGGGTGACTTCATTTCCTCTAGTTGGGTGTTCACAACTCCCTGGAAGGTTCCAACCAGTCAACCACACTGATTGTGGTGTGGGAGCTTCTGACATGCTTGATTGCACTTTCCCTTTGGGACCTTGGCGGCCCAGCTGAGTGATAGCTGGAGAGTGGAGGATTGTGTTTTTTTTTTTTTAAGATAAGGTTTGTTCCTAAGTATGAGGAAGTTTCCAGATGCCTCTGGGAAACTCTGAAGGCGTGAGGGTGGGTACAGGCCTTGCAGTTGCCCTTCTGGGCAGCCTCCAGCGCCAAGACCCCTTGCTCAGGAAGTGTCCCATGTTCCTCTGGTTTAGACACCTCTCGTGTACCATAAAACCTGGTTTGGATGGAAGGACCTTAGCCCCATAAACTCCAGGTGATCACATATCTTCCCTTCTGTCCTAACAGGCTTCTTCCCTGGAGAGGACCTCGTCATGTTCAACACGCAGTGTCTTTTGAGGACCTACTGTGGGATTTGCCCAGAGCCCTATTTGCCATCTTTGCCCATGTGGCCCCGGTCCCCACAGCACCAAGGCCATACTCCTTCCCTTGGGATTTAAATCTTCAGCGTCTGGCTCCAGACTAACTCTCCTCTTTTTATATCTCCTTTCCTTCTCTCCTCCCACCCTGAACTTCTCTTTCCCTTAGAACAGTCTGTCCCCTTGGCTGAAATATTCCTATAATTATTATTCCTGGCAAGCTGGAAGCAGGACAGCATAATGGGCTCTGGAATGAGACCACCCGGGTTCGAATCCTGGTGCTGTCCCTTTCAATCTGTGGAACCCTGGGCCAGTCACCTAGCTGTGTTGTGCCTTGCTTTCCCCATGTGTGAAATGGGCATAGTAATAGTTCCTTCCTGTGAGCAATAACAGGTCCTTAGAGATGTCATGAGGATGAAAGCTCAAGCATTTGAAATATCTGACACGTAGTAAGAATTCAACATATGGAGGCTGCAATGATTAATAAAAGCTTTTAAAGAGCCTTCTCCGTGAAGTCATTTCCAAAAAAACTAGGCAGGATGAGCTTTTCCCTTTCTGGGCCCCGAACTAACCCCATAAGGTTCCAGTTATTTATTTCCAAGTCTGAATTTACCTCTGGCCTGAGATTTCTTAGAATACAGGGACTAGATTTCAGCAATAGCAACATTTACATCAGTGTGTGCCGGGCTCTCTACCGTAGGCATTTTTCTCATCAATTTTTTTTTATCAAGACATAAACATTCACCCAATTAAACTATACAAGCCAGTGGTTTTCTTATATTCACAAAGTTGTGCAGACATTTTAAGAAGAAGCTCTATGTCCGTTAGCAGTCAGCCCTGGCAACCACAGATCTGCTCTCTGTCTCTGTGGATTTGCCTATTCTGGATATTTTGTATAAGTAGAAATATATAGTACACACCCATTTGCCTCAAATTTCTTTTACTTAAGCCCAGTGTTTGGGGATTCATTATGCATTCAAACCTATTCCTTTTTAAAGCTGAATAATACTCTATTGTAAGGATACATCACATTTTGTAAATTCATCAACTAAGGGACATTAGCATTGTTCCACTTTGGGGGCTCTTGTGACTAATGCTGCCATGAGCATCCATGCTCTGGTTTTCGTGTGGACATGTGTTTTCATTTCTCTTGGGTACATACATAGGGGTTGAATTGCCGGCCCACATGGTCACCCTAAATTTGACTATTCACATCGGCATTTGCATTCCTTTCAGTGATGAATGAGGATTCAAATTTCTCCATTTCCTCACAAATACTTTATTCTCTTTTTTTTATTATCGCCATCTTAGTATGGAGTATGAAGTGACATCTTGTTGTGGCTTTGGGTCACATTCCCCTGGTGGCTAATGGTATTGGGCATCTTTTCATGTACTTACCAACCATTTGTACGTGTTCTTTGGAGAAATGTCTATCCAGATTCTTTGTCTGCTCTTTAATTAGGCTGTTTGTATTTTTGTTGTTGAATTATAAAAATTCTTTGCATATTTTGGATACAAGTCTCTCATCAGATATATATAATTGACACATAGTTTCTCTCACCTGGAGGGATGTCTTTTCATTTTTTTGACAGTATCCTTAGAAGCACCAAAGTTTTAAATTTTGACAAAGTATCAATTTTTTCTTCTGTTGCTTGTGCCCTTGGTGTTATATCAAATAAACTATTGCTTAATTCAAGATCACAAAGATGTACTTTATACTTAAAAAGTCATCTTTTTTATAGTGAAAAATTGGGCTTCATTTGTGTACAGTGAATCAAAGAGCATTCCGCTGTCATGTATAACTGATTAGAACAAATTGAAAAAATAAAATAAAATAAAGTTATCTTATTGACGATAACCCCGAAAGGAAAAGTGACTCTTTGCAGACCCACTTTACAGATAAGGAAATCAAAGGGCCAAATGCCAGATCTGGGATTTGAACTTGGTTTCAGTTTCACTCTAAACCTCATGCCCATCTTGCTGTGCCTTCTCCCCAAGTCTCTGTACCTCTGCGTCCCTACAGGGCTTGTGCAGTGACTGGTGCACTGTCGGCCCACAGGTCATGTGAGCTGGGTGGAGGAATGGCAGGCCCTGGCCCATGTGCACGTGCCTCGCAGGTTGGCTTGGGTGGGTTGGGGCTTGCTCCACTGACGAGATGCGAGAAGTCACCTGGCATCTCTCCTCTACTCTGCAGTGTCTCATCGTTGGGGGAGGACCATGTGGCTTGCGCACTGCCATCGAGCTTGCTTACCTGGGAGCCAAAGTGGTCGTGGTGGAGAAGAGGGATACCTTCTCCCGGAACAATGTGCTGCACCTCTGGCCTTTCACCATCCACGACCTGCGGGGCCTGGGAGCCAAGAAGTTCTACGGGAAGTTCTGCGCCGGCTCCATCGACCACATCAGTGAGTAGAGCCTGTGGGTGGTGCTCCAGGAAGGTCGAGATCCTCCCTGGGTTTGACTCTGCATCTAGAAGGCCCAGATAGTCCCCTCTGGGAAATCCCTGGAGGCTCCTTGCTTCCAACTGGTGCATTTGGTGAAGGCCTGCTTTGGACCTTAACACTATGCTGGCACATAGTAGGTACTCAGGAAAATGCTTTGCGTCCAACATGTACAGTGAGGAAGAGGCAGCCACGGTCCCCAGATTTGGGACTCCAGAGCTGCCTTCCCTGACCCAGGGCTTTCTGTGGGGATGGGTGAGAGGTCAGCCCTGAGAGCCATGTCCTTATGAGAACAAGAAGGTGTGGGGAAGGGGAGCAGAGTTCGGGTGAGAATGACGAGAGGGAAATATCCGCCACACTGGGCGTGATTTGTTTGGACACAGGAGAGTTCGCCAGCAGTGGCCTCAGAGTTTATTCCCTCTTTGGGATGTGAAAATTCCGAGAGTCCAGTGGAAAGAAATTTGGATTTGCCCAGAAAGCTGCAGCGTCAGCGGTCAGGATGTTCTGCCCCACCCTTGGAAGAATGTGTGGTGTCCGTTACCCACGTAGAGCAAGGACATTGAACACCGCTTCTTATCAGACCCTCCTGGGAGGCAGCACAGCCCAGCAGGCCTGGTGGGCCCAGGGCTGTGGCCTGGTCTTCCCAGTGGGGAGCCCCTCCTGCCCTCACCCACAGGCTCTGTCTCACCCCTAGACCTTGGAAAGAAGTGCCAGAAAGGCTCTGGGAATGAGAGTGAAACATTCAGAACCATTATTGTGGAGGGGAGCTCTGGCCCTGTGAAGAGAGGTGGGGGAAATTTATTGAGCACCTACTGTGTGCTGGAACCAGAGAGACTAGGAACCTTGGCCCTGTGAGGAGAGGCCAGGCCTCCCCTGAAGGAGTTTTGTGGCCAGAGGTGGCCGGGGCTCTTCCTAGCCCACTGACTGGCTTCTGTTCGGACCATCCCTGCTCTCTCCAGCCCCAGCTGAATCCCGTGCTTGGCCTTGCTCAGCAGTTCTCCGCAGGTCCTGTGTTAGCAACCTCCTCCACTTCCCACTGAGGTAGTTCCCACCCTCACCCCAGCCTCTTGGTCTTAGCAGATGGTCTCCCTCCTGCACTCTGGGGAAGAGAGGCCACTGATGCCACACCCTGCTCCAGCCCCTGTGCCTCCTCCTGCCTGCTCACCTGTTCCTTGCTTGCACCTGCAGTCGAGAGGTAGACCTGGACATCTCCTCTCAGACTGCAACCCCGCCTTGGCTCCCTCCCCTCCTTTTACCTGCTCCTCCCACAGGCCTTCCTGCTCCTCATGTCTCACTGACTCTCCAGTCTTCTGTGTGTGCCCCAGGACCATCCTTACCTCAGAATGTCCATTCTGGAAAGAGGAGGTGTGGGCTTTTGCACCATTCATTCCCACCTTCCCCCATGACAGCCCGATCTCTCCCCACCACCCAAGTCTGCAGAAGCCTCCTGCCCCCAACTTCCCTGACCTCCTGTGAGATTTGATATTCTTGGTTCCACCTCTCTTAGCTTCCAGGACCCCAGCTCAGGCCCTGTTCTCCACCACCACCACCCCACAACCACCATGCCCGGCTCCATTCTTTTTACCTGTATTTCCTCCATTAAAGGGTGTGTCCCCACCTCCCATGCCGAGCCTGGCACCTGATACATTGTAGATGCTCAACAAATATTAAATGAGCTAAACCTGTGAAATACAGGGGGGCCCGTGGAGAGTTTAGAACTGCTCACTCTGTGGAAAAATACCTGGAGGGATGCCCATCTGTACAGAATGGCGGGAGTCAAAATAGGGAAATGAGGTTCTACTCATTGGAAGAATTTTGAGAGTAAACAGGAAGTGGAGAACCTGACCCTTACTTACCCTTGGAGGGCAAAGAGCTTAGGCACAGCCTCCCCACGTTGAGCCACTGGATCACCATCTTCCCTTGTTGCCCTTCACTCTCTGTGTGCTCCTCTTTCCATCTTCACCTTACCAAGCCCAGAGCCCAGCTCAGGAAGGAGGCAGGAGAGGCGAAGCCCCCCTCCCTAGGGCGTCATCCAACGCTAGAGCAGGAACTTTGAATCAGACAGATCCAGGCCCACCTTCTAGTTCTGCTCCTGTGTGACCTCAAGCAAGTCACTTAACCTCAGTTTCTCATAGATAAAAATGAGAATAACGAAGGTACTAAAGGGCTGCTGTAAAACACAGAGTGTCTGTCGCCAAAATCAGTGCTGGGGATGATCATGGTTGGCGTATTGCCACACCCTAATCCCCGAGCAGTGATTGTGCGGTGTTCTGCATACAGGAGGTGCTCGGGTGTTGCTACTGACAGTTCTTCTCCGCCTCTGTCTTCCTAACAGGTATTCGTCAACTGCAGCTCATCCTATTCAAGGTGGCCCTGATGTTGGGAGTTGAAATCCATGTGAACGTGGAGTTCGTGAAGGTTCTGGAGCCTCCTGAAGATCAGGAAAATCAAAGTACAGTGTAGTTTTCCTTTTCTGTCTCCAAGTCAGATATTGCAAACCAGAAGCTACACTTGCAGCTGTCAGAGGGTGCTTCTGTGAGAGTTATTTTTATTGAGAGCTGTCTGGCACACTTCCAGCCAAGGATAGTTTACCTTTTTTGACCATTGCTATTGCTCCTACCCTCCAGGGAGGAGGAGGGTAGGATTATTATTAAGCCATCAAACCTATAATTTGGTGGTCTTGTCCTTAGGAGATGCTATTTTGACAAATTAAGTCCAGTCGATAGCAGGAAAGAAGACGTAGATTTGGTGGTTGGTGAAGTTCATTCATATGCACTCCAAGTTATGCATGAGAGTTCACACGTAGGTGTGTGGATACACCTGTTGGACCCACAAGGTATTTCAAAATCTAGTACAGAAAGTGAGGCTTCTAGAACAACTATGAGATAAAGGTTCAATGTATTTTTCAGTCAATGTTTTTAGTTATACATGGACACAGCACCTTTTTTTAAATTTACTTTTACGTGGTGCTGAGGATTGAACCGAGTTCTTCACACATGGGAGGCAAGCATTCTACTGCTCAGCCACACCCCAGCCGCCATCAATAATATTTTAATCATATTGAGGTTTAACTTATAAGCCATAAAATTCACCCATATAGATATACTCTATTTAGTAACATTTCTCTTGCTTAGTATGCTTATTTAAGTTCAGATCCCTTAGACTCACCAAGATCAGAGAGGTTGTCCACGAAGCCTCTGCATCTTTCTTACTGTCAATATCTTCTACTGCCCAGGAGGGGCTAAGAGTTCTGAGCCAGCATGGTGTTGGAAAACTCACAGTTTCCTGCTTGGGGTATACCTCGTTTCTCCTTCCCTCTGCCCAGCATTTGTGAGAATTTAAGGGAGCCCTTTGTTGGCTTTTCTAGCAGGACACTATTTATTACCTGGCACTCAGCGACGTGTGCTCCTGACCGGCATCTCTACTAGACACACAGGCTGTCCCTGAAAATGTTTTTACCCAAGGCAGCGAACTCCACAACAGAACATTTTGAGCATGAAGTAGAAATGCAAATTGTTTTTGTTCTCAATCTTTTGGGTCCGTTTAGCATTAAGAAGGTACTGAGTAATGTGGGGGAATGAGAAGGGAACACAGCAGAATCTAGTGAGAAAAATACTGTGCACGGGGGACTAGTTTAGGAATCATTTGGGATAAACTTCCAGTGAAGGCCAGTGAAACTAGGCATGGAGCTGCGTTGCTGGTTTACTTTGTCCCGTGCTGCACTGACACTAAAGCCAGCAGATGCCAAGTAGAGCGTGACCTTGGACTGCCTTGTCCCTTCCCCTGAAGGCTCTGCCTGGGCAGCATTGTCCATTTCTCATGGCCAACACACAGAGCTGTCACCACCTTCCTCCCACCGCTCCCTGTCGCTCATCTCCCCTTTGTGTCCTGCAGAAATTGGCTGGCGGGCAGAATTCCTGCCTGCAGACCACGCCCTGTCGGAGTTCGAGTTTGACGTCATCATTGGTGCTGATGGCCGCAGGAACACCCTGGAAGGTGAAGGCTCTTCCTCTTGGGATGGGGGTGGGGAGAGTGGGAGGGATTGGAGACAGTGGGTGAGATGCCAGGTGCCAAAGCTGGGGGAGCTTCTCAGAGGGCAGGTGTCCCATCCTGCCTGAGGTAGGTGGGCAGGGCTCCAAGAGGCCGGGAGTGAGAGGGCAACCATTTCATGCTCTCTGGACCTTGGTTTTCCCAGCTCTAAACTGAGGGTAGCAGAACCCATTCAGAGCACTGTGCTGAGGATTGGAGACACTCACCTATTCTGCGATTATTCTGCGATTCCCAGACTCACTGATATGTAAAAATGCTTTATAAAGGTTAAGTGCTGTGGGAAAAATCAACATGCATTTATTGAGCACCTCCTGATGTGCAAGCCAGGGTGCCGAGCACTTTAATAAGTACTTCATCTGGGACAAACACTTCATGCGGTTAATGGTGTTTGTTCACATTCAAGTGCTCTGCTAACGGAAGGAGTTAGAGAAAGAGTCTCCCCCTCCTCTTTCCACAACGCTTAAGCACACCCACTGCTGGGCAGTTAGATAAGGTCTGCCAAACTGTCACCGTACAAAACCATGCTTCGCTGGGTCCTAGAGTTGGATGCACAGTGTGCTTTCCTGGGGTGAGATCCACTTTGGGTGAGAGAGAAACCCTAATAGTAGGAGATGCAGCAGTCACGTCCATCCCAGACCCCGAATCAATTAGGCTCCTGGGTGTCCTGATTTATAGTAGCAGTACTGATTTAAAACCACAAGTCGTAACGAATACAGCCCCCAATGGCATCTCTTAGACTAGGGACAACACTGCTTTTTGAGCTTGCCCCCCTTGAGGGCCACAAGTTGCCAGTGTCTAACTGGGAGGACACCCCCTGAGCACAGGACACATGCCCTGAAATAGCTGACAGAAATTTCAGGATGTCTAGTCCTTCTGATTCAGGCCCTTCCCTGGGTGTTCTTTACCACCACCGCCACCTTCTGATGTCACTTCTGTTCCCTCACAATCAGTACCCAATATCTGACAGGACATCTTAGGCAATTCTAGCTTCCAATCTGGATGTGGTACTCTTTGGATTTCCTATGTTGTTTTGGTTGTTTGGTGAATAACTATTCCTGTAACTTTGACAAAGGTCTAATGAGGAACAACTTGAAGGAGAGGTTCCAAGTAGAAACCCAAGGTTTCAGTCAAAGGAATTTTGGGCAGAGGATTGGGCACCAGCATGAGGCCAGAGTACATGGTGAGAGGATGTGCAGGGAATTCCCAAGGTGATGCTGGGGCAGGTCTGTATCTGTGTGACTAGGGTCTTAGTCTGTTTTCTGGTGCTATTATAGAATACATGAGTCTGGGAAATTTATTAAAAATAGAGGTTTATTTAGCTCATGATTCTGGAAGCTGAAAGACCAAGAGCCTGGCACCAGAGTCTGGCAAGGGCTTTTGTGCCACATCATTACATGACAGGGGGCATCCCATGGCAAGACAGAACCAGCTGACCAAGAGAGCCCCCAGGATGGCCTGTCAACTCACGAATTCATGCACGAATGAATCCAATCTTGAGGGCAGAGCCTTTTGACACAATCGCTTTCCTAAGGCCCCTCTCCAGCTACCATGACATATAAATGGGGGGATTAAGCTTCCAACACAGGAATGCAGGGGACACATTCAAACCATAGCTACTGGGCCCTGGAATCAAGCAGCTAAGCAGCATGTCTGGGGTGGGAGTGGGAGGATTCAGGACCACAGGAAAACTAGATGGAAAAGGAAGAGGAGGAGAAGGTTCCACTGAGCTGTGACCACCTGCTGTGATCCTGCATCACCGCCTTTCAACACAAGTTTTCATATAAACCATTGAGAACCAAGACCCCTAAGGATGTAGTCCTATGTAGTCCTACACAGTCAAATGTACTAGACATTTCAAGAGAGCTACAAGAGTGAATGTTGAATGGCCTCCGCCTAAAGAAATAATGAAGGTTTGAGGAGATGAGCTAATTACCCTGATTTGATTATTGCTTATTACATGCATGTATCAAGTATCACATTGTATGCCATAAGCATGCACAATTATCTTGTGTCAATTTAAACAAAAAATAAAAATTTAAGAAGAGCCATAAGGAATTAGAGTGCTAAATTAATTCATGTTCATAATATATTTATTGGCTGTGTACTAAGTGCCTGTCACTGGGAATTAGTATATTAGTTTCCCGGGGATGCTCTAAGGAAGTACCACAAACTGAGTGCTATTGTGGCCTAGTCATGGAGGCTGGAAGTCCACAACCAAGTTGTCCTCGGGGTTAATTCCTTTTGAGGGCTGTGAGAAGAATGGGTCCCCTGCCCCTCTCCTGGCTGCTGGTGTTTGCTGCAGTCTTGGTGTCCCTTGGGTTATGATCTTTATCTTCACAGGATGGTCTGTCTCCCTGTGGGCACATGTGTGTCCTTCTTTCCCCTGTCTATGAGAACGTCAATCATACTGGAGTAGGGGGCTCCTCTGTAAAAGGGTGAGCTCTGGAACTAGTTACCTGCTGGAGAAGATCACTTGGGCCATTGCCAAGCCTAACTAATCAGGTTTAGGGAAGGACAGAGTCCCACTGACTTTGCAAGCCTCTCATGACATGTTGTTTCCTCTTGGGAGCAAACCTGTCATTTCTCCTGTCCTCCAGAGGCCTAGAGGCCTGGTTTCGCTGGCCCGTGGGCACTGAGGAGGGCTTTCTCCGTGATGGTTTTCGGTGTTGGTGCCCAACCCAGAAGACTGACTTTGCTGTCTCCTTCCCCCACAGGGTTCAGGAGAAAGGAGTTCCGGGGGAAGCTGGCTATTGCCATCACTGCCAACTTCATAAACAGAAACAGCACAGCGGAGGCCAAGGTGGAAGAGATCAGCGGCGTGGCCTTCATCTTCAACCAGAAATTTTTTCAGGACCTGAAAGAAGAAACAGGTGAGACCTTCTCCTCTGTCCCAACCAGCTCTTGTCCATATTTTCTGGGGTATCTAGAGGGGCACGGTGGCTTCACGGGCTCCTGGGACTGGAAGACTCATACTGAGAGGGTGAAAGCAGAGATTTCTCCTTATGGTAATAAGTGGGCAGTGTTCCTTCAAGGGGTTCTTGATGGAACATTCTGGATGTTTTACCTGAAAATGGATAACAAAGCACTAACTCTGTCGACATTTACCGTGGGCCTACTGTGTGCCAGTGCTCAGTATTGTGGAGTGCAAGATCAAAGTCGGCATGATCCTCCCCCACCCCAACATAGCTCCCTGACCATCAAGGATCCACATAAAGTGCCCTAATGCAAGATGGTCAGCGCTGCACCCGGGCCAGTGTGAGACTCAGGGGTGCTCTGGGAGCCAGGAACCTGCAGGTGGCACCTGAAGAAGCACACATGCTGCACGCCAGCTGCCACACTCCAAGGGATGTCCAGGGATGCCACTCACTGGCAGCATTTGACATCCAGCCACGGGCCTGGAGAACAGAGGCGCTGATTCACTCACTCAGTGGCTGCTACATGCCAGATACTGCTTTGGAGCCTGAGTTAGACCAATGAAGGAGACCAAATCCCTCCCTCCCAGGACCTGTATTCGTGCTATGGAGGGAGATAATCAATAAACAGATAAAGTGACAGGTCGGGCAGCCGTAAGGATGGCGGAGAAAACAAAGTGAGGGGAAAGCAAGGGATGAACCACCTGTTCCCAATTAAATAAATTCCAGACTTTTTCTTTTTTTGGGGGGGGTGGGGGGTAAGTACTAGGGATTGAACCCAGGGATGCTTAGCCACTGAGCCACACCCCCAGTCACATATATATATTTATTTATTTATTTTTTTTTCAGACAGGGACTTGCTAAATTACTTAGGGCCTCACTAAGTTGCTGAGGCTGGTTTTGAACTTGCAGTCCTCCTGCCTCAGCCTCCTGAGTTGCTAAGGTTACAGGTGTGTGCTACCACACCCGGCTTTCTTTCTTTTTTTTTAGAGAGAGAGAGAGAATTTTTTAATATTTATTTATTTTCTTTAGTTTTTGGCAGACACAACACCTTTGTTTGTATATGGTGCTGAGGATCGAACCCAGCGCAGCGTGCATGTCAGGCGTGCATGCCAGGCAAGCACGCTACCGCTTGAGCCACATCCCCAGCTCTTGCTTTTTTTTTTAAGTTGACTAACAATGTGTATTTTCCCTTCAAAAGGCAGTGTGATAACAATGTTAAATGCTATCTTCTGCTGGAGGTAAGCCATGTGCTTTTTGACCTCCAGTACAGCACCTTCACTGCTTTTCTGCTTTTCTCACTCAGAGTCACATTTAAGATACTGCCCATATTTCTCATTCAATGTCACATTTTCAACATAGCCCTCCTGACGGTCAGTTTTGGGGGCAGTGGAACATCTCACCAAGTAGGTGTCACTGCTTTTAAGCCCCAGATTGGCAAACCATGGCTGGCCGCATGTTTTTATATTGTCTTTGAGCAAAGAATGACTTTGTATTTTGAAAGTTGCTAAAGAAAAAAAATCACAAGTATAATATTTTTTGATGCATGAAAATTACATGAAATTTAAGTTTTGATGTCCCTAAGTAAAAGTTGGTGACAACACAACCGTGCCTGTTCTATGAGTTCTTACAACAGGGACCGTATGGATCGCACAGTCAAAAATGTTTACCATCGGGCCCTTTGAAAAATATTTGCTGACCTCTGATTTAAACCTTTCACGATTTACTGTTGCAGATAAGACTGTTTCTGTTGAATCTATCTTTAAACTTATTTTCTAGGAATGAGATTAATTTTGGAACCAGACTGCCTCTCGCTGTTCACAATGAAATGCATCCAGTGACCCTTTGAGTTTCCCCACCGTTGCATAACTTTATTGAGTTTTAATATTTCCTTCCAGCATTTGCATCCTTTTGGATTATTTAAAAATTCTCCAACACTTCCTTTCCCTCAAAGCCAAGAAAACAGATATTTAAACCACCAAGTAATAAATTATGACGGGACATTGAATGTTTCAATGTGCTTCCTTTAAACTTTGCTGAGGTTGTCGCCTTGGGCCGTTGTTTCACAAAGTGCCCTCACACAGAGACAGCGACATTTCCTCTGGTTCTCTTGGGGGTCCTCTGCATTCATGGCTGTTCCCTACTCCTCTGTAGTAAAGGTCCCTGCAGTTGCCCAGCCCAACTCCCTTGTGTGGCGTGCGGATGGGTCTCCAGGTGTCTGTTCCTTTCTCTCCCTTCAAATAAACTAGTGCAATGGTTCTCCCACTCAAGTATGCATCAGAATCACCCGACAGCTTGTTAAAACCCTAGGTGCTGGCCCCATCCCCAGAGTTTCTGATGCAGTAGGTCTTGGATAAGCTGCTGATAAGCTGTGTTTTTAGGGACCACACTTTGAGAACAACTGACTAAGCTCTCATTTCTCAGTGTGGTTTTTGCAGAAACCCAAAGTGCAAAATAAATATTCTCCTGGCCTCTAATCTGAGTTGTTCCTACTGCTGCACCTGGGTTTTCACTTACAAGGAGGGAAATGGTAGGAGCATCCCTTAGTGTAGCCTGAGGAGAATTTCCTCAGCTCTAGCCACATGGAGGGCACAGTGGATAGTGCTCAGAGCCACACAGGCTCAGATTCAAATCCTGGCTGTGTTGCTGTTTAGCTTCCATGGCCAGGTCCAGCAGTTTCTGCAACATCTTGCTCAGCTCCACCCTAGAAATACTGGCTCACAACCCCCGTGCACATTGTGAATTAAAACAACAACAACAATGTCCTTCTGTGATTATAAATGCTAGCTGTAAAACTCAGGTAACTTTGGGTTCTCTCTCATCTTCTCAGCCTTGTGTCTTAAACTTGGTCTTGCATGAAGATTCTGCAGATAAATAATGAGCCCTGCCATAAGTTGATGTGAACATACTTTATATACAGAGATACAAAAAAATTGTGCTCTACATGTGTAATAAGGATTGTAATCCATTCCACTGTGTGGTGTATTTAAAAAAATAATAAAACCAATTAAAAAAATACATCTGCACAGGGTAAAGGCCATCCTTGGTGGCCATGGCAAATTAAGGATGGGTGTCAGTAGAAACCAACCCTGAGATCTCTTAAGTCTAGGATCTTGGACTTATAGCCTTAGAATGGTATGAAAATAAATTTTCTTGTTTACATAAATAATAATAATAATAATGAGACCTGCAATGAGGCAAAACACAGTTCCCGGCACTCAGCCGGCTTTGGGGAAGTAACCTGGGTCTGAACACTTCTCTTTTCAGGGATCGATCTTGAGAACATTGTTTACTACAAGGACAGCACCCACTATTTTGTCATGACTGCCAAGAAGCAGAGTCTGCTGGACAAAGGTGTCATCATTAATGTATGTACCTTGGCTCATTTCTCACCTGCCTTTCCCTTTGTGACCTGGGCTGGCAGCACCAGCAGGTGTGGGAGAAGACACTCTCCTGCCAGGAACTGAGCACAGGGAGGAGACAGAAGGGGCCTCCCACTTCCCCCATTCCTCGCCCTTTGCGTTGCTTGAGTTCTGGGTAAAGGAGCCACGCCCAGGCCTGGAGAGGGCTTCTGCAGAGCTGTGTGCTGGTGTTAGTCCACACTAACAAGTCTTCACCTACCCTGGTCCTTCTCTGGGAGGTCACATGGAGACAGATGGGGGCTGATTGTCCTGGCAGAACACAGAGATGCTTTCACTTGAAAATTTCATGCTGTGTCCCCTTGTTGTAGAATGGGGGAAAGCTCACTATTTGCCACATACTAACTCATAATCAACTGTTCATTTTTTATTTTCTGAAACTCAGTCATCCTGTCTACAAAATAGGAATGATTTCTATCGGAAAGGGTTCTTGAGTGGAGTATGTATACATACATACATGTACACATACATACGCACACACGGAGCACCTAGCTTGTGATGGATTTGCAGATTCCCTCCATAACTTCTCAGTCTTGTTTGGACACCCACTCTTTTGTCCTGCTGGCTTCCTGGCTTCTGCTTTGTGGCTTTGCATCTTCAAGTAACAGGGTTGGAGGGAAGAGGCACATGGAGTGGTGGGCCCTAGACTGGTAGCTCCTCTGGTCAGGTTTCAGCCCTCCCAGAGCCCCTGTTCTCACCTGCACCGCCACCACTGCATGCTCAAGATAAGCATCGTGCAGCCCCAGGTCAGCCTGCTCCCTGATGCTGGCCTACAGCCCAAGCAGCATGGTGACTATTCATTGCTGCTTGTCAGAGAAGAATGTGCCTCTCTTCTCGCCAGCCTGTGCTGGCAGCTGGCCGGGTGGCATTTGTAACCCAGCCCTCCCCTGGGTCTCCTCCACATTGGCTCAGGTCTTTGCTGAGAGCCAGGGTTGTGGATGGAGGCTGCAGATGGCAGCTGCTGAGTGAGGCTGGCTGAGCATACCCTCAGAGGTGTGAGCACCGGGCTTCAACAGCTGGTGTCCACTGCCCAGGGTTCATTCTGGAAAGGCAGCATAACCCCTTCCTGCTGCCCTACAGCTGGCCCTCCTGATTGCCCCCTGAGTCTGGCACTGGCTGTCAGGAGCAGTGCAGGGCAGGGCCAGCGTGCAGGGTGCAGGTGCAGTAGGCACCTTTGCCGGAGAGGGCCTGGGCTCCAGGAAAAGTGTGACTGGGGTTTTGCGTTTCACTGTCCGAGTGCTCCACACTCCTGGGATGCCAAGGTCACCTTCAGGTCATCCCAGGGCATTTGTCCAGGCAATGACATGTTGCTCAAGGTGGCTGGATTCCTTGGCAGTCATCGCAGCCCCTCCATGTTCCCATCTTGGGTTCTGTTTCATGGTGCAGGTCCCAGAGTATGATCTGCTCTGCTTGAACAGTGGCTTTGGGGAGCTGGGAGTGGATCCCAGGCCTGTGATGACCTCACCAAGGTCTCTCCTCCCCCAGAGGACTCCTCAACCTCCTGAGATGGTGCCAAGGGCCTCAAGGGCCACAGCACAAACTCATATCTAGAAATTGGAGGCCATAGGCTGGACATGGGAGAACAGGACTCTGCTTGGGATTAGGAGCTCTGGCCTGAGTTTCCGGTGTCCGGCCAACTCTACAGCGTATGTGTGGCCCATCTACCCAGCCACTTACATTGGCATTCTTCTCTTGCCCCCAGAGAAAGGACAAGTCGTCCTCATTATCCTCTCCCTATGTAGGTCAGCGTTGTCCTACTGGTGCCACAGGTGCTGCATAAGTGTCTGTTGAATGACTGACTGCCCTCTGGACAAGAGATCTCCCTTACCTGGGTCCCTGTTTATTCCAGCTGATCCCTGGGCTTCCCTTCATGGTTCTTAAAGGGAGAGTAAAATTTCTCCTCTAGAAACCCTGCCTCTGGGCTCCCAGCTGTGTTGAGCTTTTTCTTGCCCCAAGAGCAAGAGCCTCCCCGGGCCCCTCTTCCCTGGCCCATGCCCACTCAGGCTGTGGTCACCACAGGCAATTCTCACTACAGTGTGGCATGGGTCCCCATCTGGGCTGTCTCTGTACTGTGCCCTGCCTCCTGTGAAGGGTTGGGTGGGCCTTGCCTACCTTCTCTTCCATCCAGCTCAGCAATGGGGCAGCTCTTCTTCCTATTGGATCCCTCACCCTTCACTCATTTTTTGTGGCTTCCCTCCCCCACTGTCCCATCTCTCTAATTTAGCATCCAGTCTCCCTTCAGTCTTTCCCACAGGCCATGGAAAATCAGGCCCAAATGTGTCCTCCTGCCCCACTTTTACCGTATTTTAGAACAACCACCCCAGGCCTGCCCACTTCATCTAAAACCCCGTTCCCTGCCCTTCTGCCCTGATTTTCCTTATTATCCTTGTTCTCACCTCCTCTTGAGGGTTCTGCCACCAACTTCCTTGCCCAGGACTCCCCACAGCAGCACCAGGGGGGCTCTGACCCAGGTCCAAGCCCAGGTCTGCTCCCTCTGTCACGTCCCCACATTCCTGATTGGGGTCTGCACCAGGCAGTGTCTTCACTGTAGTGTGGCACCACGTGTAGCTCATGGTCCCCCTGAGGGGGCCCGGGCATGTTCTGAGGGGAGGTGTGCGTGCGCCCCCTCCGTGCCGTCCTCCTGATTCTCATCACCACTCCTTCCAGGGAGGCTAGTGAGCATGGGACCCAAGAATAGGTGTCAAAAAAAAACCCCAACTAACTACAACTCCATCTCAACACCAGGACCGACAAAGGATTCTCGGACCAGTGCTAGGAGCAATTGGGGAATGGTGGTGTGGGTGTGGAAATATTAGAAGTTCTCCAACAAGGTGTTTGAATGATGGCTCTTCTGAAAACGGAAACAGGAGGTCACTGTGGGTGCAGGTGAGGCTGAGCCTCTTGGGACCTGCAAAAGCTCATGCCAGCACCTTGGGCTGATAGGGGTTGCATTTCACCACATGCCACTTTTCATGTCCCCATGAATTACTGGGGACAGGCATTTTCATCCATTTCCATTCACTTCCCACATACCAAGCATGGGCCTGAGATTTCACGTACGTAGTCTCATTCAGTCTTCATGTGGCTCTGTGTGGTAGATTTCATTACTCGCATTTTAGAATGAGAAAACAGAGGCTCAGCACCAAGTTAAATGACTTGCCCAATATAGTTAATGAACACAGAGGTGGAATTTGACCCATTGCCCTTGCTGACTGCAAAGCCTGTGTCCATCCTATGGGCCAGTTCTTCACTCTATGAGGCAATATGAGATTTTTTTTTTTCCTTTTTTTTTTTTTTTTTTTTTTTTTGCAGGATGGGGGCGGGTAGTCAGGATTGAACCCAGGGGCACTTAACTATTGAGCCATACCTCCAGACCTTTTTTATGTTTTACTTAGAGAGAGGGTCTCACTGAGTTGCTTAGGGCCTCACTAAGTTGCTGAGGCTGGCTTTGAACTTGTAATCCTCCTGCCTCAGCCTCCCAAGCCACTGGGATTACAGGTGTGTTCCACCATGCCCTGCCATGTTTTTTTTGTGTCATCTTTGGAACATGGCCTTTTAGTTTGCCACCTGATGAGCAGATTAGTCTCTGGGTCTGGTCTACACTGCTTTCTTCCTTCTCTGACATCCTATGGTGCACCACCAGGATGGTTGGACCTCCTCGTCCTCTAAGCTCAGGGTGCTCCACCCCACACAGGGAAGTAGAATAATGAACACCCTAAGAGCAAAGCCAAGCCATGAGCATCCCTCAGCCTCTCAGGAAAGGAGTATCTGATTCTGGAAAGAAAGTTTGAGTGTTATGCTGAGCACCCCACCCCACCCCCCTGTCTTTTTGACTACTCAATGCAACGTATCTGGATCACATTAGCTTAGCTGAGTCCATTATTAAATCACACTTACTGACTTGCTCCTTTGTCTTTTAATTGTGTTAGAAGTTATCGCAAGAACCAGTCATGAGGAATGTGTTTCTTATTTGCTGTAAGACCATTATCAAGTACACTGTTCATTAAACTCTCGGTGCTTGCTGTCAAAATTCCTACGTGAGACAGATCTTTTAGAATTTAGTGCCAGGAAAAAATGACCTCCCCCGAGGAATAGCTATGCTTCCTTCTTTCTGATAAGGAAAGCCCTGTAACATATCACATTTCCCTTTTGCCTTGGATGCCAGGAAGCTCCAAGCCAAATTTGATGCTTAATCACAACCGTGTTAACCCTCACAGCTGGCTGATTGGCTTCCTCCCTCTTCCCTCGATGCTGGTTGTCTATTTCTGTTTTGATTAGCCTCACTGTGTAGGCCCAGGCCAAGTCCTTTTGCCTAGAGAGGATGTGACTCCTACCCTGCAGAGGAGCCGGCTGCTGCACTGTTCTGATCTTCCCTAGGACTACATCGACACAGAGATGCTGCTGTGTGCCGAGAACGTGAACCAGGAAAACCTGCTCTCCTACGCCAGGGAAGCTGCAGACTTTGCCACCAATTACCAGCTGCCATCCTTAGACTTTGCCATGAACCACTATGGGCAGCCCGATGTGGCCATGTTCGACTTCACCTCCATGTACGCATCCGAGAATGCAGCCCTGGTGCGTGAACGTCAGTCGCACCAGCTGCTGGTGGCCCTCGTGGGTGACAGCTTGCTCGAGGTAACGCTTGTGTGTGGAGCCTCTCATTCCTGCAAAGAGACAGATCCCTGCATTTAACTCCAGCTGGCAGCATCTGCTGTCACACAGTTCTGGGAAGGACAGGCTCAGCCAGTGTCAGGACTCTGCCAAGGCCAACCTGGCCCCAAGCCTGCCCTTTCATTGAATCCCAAAGAACCCTCCTGCCTGCATGTGGGTGGGAGCACTTTCTCTCCCATCTCCAGATTTTTTTTTTTTTGGTACTGGGAATTGAACCCAAGGGCACTAACCACAGAGCCACATCCCCAGCTGTTTTATATTTTATTTAGAGACAGGGTCTCACTAAGTTGCTTAGGGCCTCACTAAATTGCTGAGGCTGGCCTTGAACTCATGATCCTCCTGCCCCAGCCTCCCAAGCTGCTGGGATTAAAGGCATGCGCCACCACGCCCAGCTAGGCTGACTTCTTTGTTGAAGTACAAAATTAGGCAGCCTGGTCTGGACCGTTGGGCTGTTCTCAGAGCAAGCATGTGTACACTGAGCCAGGCAAAGACTCCTCACTCATGTGAGTGGCCCTTTGTGACCTTTCAATGTGGAGATCTTTTAGGGTGCAAGAGAAGCCTGGGAGCCCCAGTGTGGTTTCCCAGCCATGACTTCCCTGATCAAACCTGCCAGTATCAGAATCCTTAGCTTGAATGGATGTTTTCAGAAGGGATAAAATTTTATCTTCATGTAAGCACGGATCAAACCACGTTTATGTGTTGATCCCAGGTACAGAGTCAGAGTCCAAAACGTGCTTTAGGTGTTCATGACAAATTCGCTGGGCTCAGCTTGGCTGAACTGGTCCTCACTCACCATTGTGCGTGGACACTCTCCTTGGCTCTGTATTTGAGCATCCAACACCCACTGTCCCTAATGTCCCTCCCAGCCTTCCTTCCTGCCGTGCTCTGTGCTACACCCAAACCAGATGGGCTCTTCCTTCATCAGCCCCTGAGTTTTGTCCACACTGTTTCCAGAGGGACCATGATCAGAGTGTTATGCTGAGCACCCCACCCCACCCCCCTGTCTTTTTGACTACTCAATGCAACGTATCTGGATCACATTAGCTTAGCTGAGTCCATTATTAAATCACACTTACTGACTTGCTCCTTTGTCTTTTAATTGTGTTAGAAGTTATCGCAAGAACCCTGCATATGGGCCACTCTTCCGTGACGTGTCCTTCTCTCCTAGCCCTTGAGCATTTTTGCTGGCTCATGTCCTAGCGCCCTTTGCAGTTGAGTTTGCGCTACAGCCCTCTGTAATTAGGGCGGCCTTGTACAGTCAGCAGGGCTGCTGCTGTGTCCCCTCATTGTCCCACCATTGCCTTTCTCAGGCTGACAATGGGATGGAAGCTGGCAGTCATGAGTATCAACCAGAATCTTGCATGTGTTCTCTTGCAGCCATTTTGGCCCATGGGCACAGGCTGCGCCCGTGGCTTCCTGGCAGCCTTTGACACAGCATGGATGGTGAAGAGCTGGGACCAGGGCACCCCTCCCCTGGAGCTGCTGGCAGAAAGGTGAGGTTTAGAGCAGAACTCCTAGCTGGGGGGGTCAGGGGGTCAGAGGATCAGGCAGGAGACAGAGCAAGATTGGCTGTACCTAGGAACTCCGTCTCATGCTCATTTGCCTTCCCATGTGTGGCCTGATTTAATCATCAAGGTCCCCAAGGACACTTTATCCATCATCGTCTCCCTTCTTCAGTGACTTTTCCTGGTGGCCAAGGTCTTAGGCCCTGGATGCCAAAGAAAAATCTTCATCTAGGGCAACCATAAACTTGGGGCTCCCTGACATTGCTCATTCACCCAACACCCAGAGAGGTTTATTTAAGGGCATCTTCCAGAACAGTGTTGGGGTTCTCTGACCTCCCTCTCCCATGGCTGAGATATTGGGCTTCCTCCCAGACCCCAGTGCTGGCCACGTGGCTGTGACAGCTGGTGAACTGGGAGAAGGCAGGGCTGGCAGGAAGACAGGCTGCTGATGGTCTTGGGTGTGGAAGTCTGTGGCCTTGGGGAACAGGCCACCACAGGCAGCAGGACTAAGTGGTGGTCACAGCTAAACCACAGGTTGCTGCGCTTCCAGCCCTGAGTTCCCAGCCTTCTCAGGGAGGAGGCCAGCATTCCTGCCACCCACACATCCCTTCCTCTTGGCCCCTTTGGCCCTCCTATGTGGCAGATCTCAAAACTGGGAGTGCCAGGCATTTCAGGGAAGAGTTACACATTCTCATCTGGAAGCCCTAGGATAGGGGGATGGGAGAGGTGGGAGAAGGTGGGGACAAGTGCCTGAGGGGGCCAGAGTAATCCCTGACCTCTGGGTTTGGCCTCTCTTCAGAGAAAGTCTGTACCGGCTATTACCTCAAACCACCCCAGAGAACATCAACAAGAACTTTGAGCAGTACACATTGGACCCAGGGACGCGGTACCCAAACCTCAACTCCCACTGTGTCAGGCCCCATCAGGTAAGTCCATTCCTGGTCCCTGTCTGGGTCCGATTGGGGAAGGGAGGAGAGGGTCTCATAAAAATCTTAGCACATTCCTGGGACTGAGGCCAGTAAGGCCTCTTTGCCCAAGGGTGGAACCAGTTCTTCTCCTTAGGAGACACAGGAGAGCGATATAGACAGCATTTTTTCTACCCCACAGAAGAGAACTGGAAAAATGTACTGTGTGTATACATATTTATTCATGTATGTGCATATATTTACATGTGTTAATTTGTCACTGTGCACATGCAAAACTGATCATGATTTTCTCAAATAATTTACCAGGCCAAACAAATATCTTCTCTTCTTCACCACCCAGGATTCTGGAGTCCACTGTTCCCCCATTGATTCAGAGCCACACAAACCCCAACCTCTTCAGTCAATAGGACTAAGAATGGTGTGGATTTTTAAAATTAGCCAATTAGCTATGTTCACCTACCCCCCACCATTTGGGGGATAACTGAGGTCCCTGTCTAGGACTCAGGTGGCCTGGGTTCCCTTGCTAAAAGTCCTGCCATTCAGCATTGGAGGGAAGCAAGGATGGGCAGGAAGTGAGCAGGGCTGGGCTGTATGCAGAGGCCCTGAGATGGGGACTTGGGGGAGATGGTGGGCAAGCGTGCAGCCTCTTTTGCTCATAGGTGAAGCATCTGTACATCACCAAGGAGCTGGACAGCTACCCTCTCAAGAGAGTGGACTCAGTGAGGAGGTCCATCAGCCTCTCCAGGCGGGGTAAGCAGCCCTGACCAGGTCACCAGGATGGGCTTTGGGGGGAGAAGGAGACCTGCTCAGTGTCTATGGTGACAAACTGTGCCTCTGTCAACCTGTGCTTGTGAAACCTTGGGCAGGCGCCTCTCTTCTCTGTCCTTCAGCTTCTTCATCAGGTTGACCAAGAGCAGGAGGGGCAGGACCATTGGAGAGTTAGGGTTCATGGGCGTGGAACCCTTAGCACAGGAAGATGGCCTGGGGGATCATTTCACAGGTCTTATTTTTCTTCCCTCATTTCCAACGTGGGGTCTTATCTCCCTAAGTGTCAAGTGCTTCGTAGTTCTGATCTTCCTGGGCCTGACACAGTGCAGGGGCGGGTGCTTAATGTCAGGGGAAGGGTGATTCAGTGAGGAACTTCCCCAGCATCCAGCTTCCCTCAGGTCCCTCCTGCCTAGAGACACTGGCGGCCTCTGCCTGTCCAGGCCTTGCTGCCTCTCCTTCACTAGGCAAACCCAGCTCTCCACAGACCCCGCGCCCTGCTGCCAATAGACTGTTGACTCAAATAAACTCTTTTACTGTTCCACAAACACAGCAGGGTTTTCCAGGTTCTTTGCCATGACAGGGTCCCGTTTTCTTAGAATGACTTCTTCTGTCCGATGAATTCCTAGATATTCTCCAGGACCCAGCTCAAATGCATATCCCTGGACCCTTTCTTTGCAGAGTTCTCCTTGCTGGGCCACCACGGGGCCCACCCCCTCACATGTTCCCACACCCCCATGCATCTCCCTCTATTGTAGCACCACGTCATCCTCCCCTAGAAGATGACCGTGTTGTTGACAGGATCTGCATTCCAGCCGCCAGTCTGGGACCTGGCAACAGTGGGCCTTAGGGACTGTACTGGGAAACAACTTCCTGTCCCAGGATCTTGCCCTCCAGCTATCCTCTTGATCAGGCCCCTAAGCAGCAGCCCACGGGGAATTGCACCCACGTCCAGCCCCTTCCCTTTCTGCAGCTCTTCCTGCTTCTCAGCCCTGGTGCAAGCTCCTGAGGTCACCCCAGGTCTCACTGCCTGTGCTCCCTCCCTGCAGAGTCAGACATCCGGCCCAGCAAGCTCTTAACCTGGTGCCAGCAGCAAACCGAGGGTTACCGGCACGTCAATGTCACCAACCTGACCACATCCTGGCGCAGTGGCCTGGCCCTGTGTGCCATCATCCACCGATTCCGGCCAGATCTGATGTGAGTCTGGGGCCCATGCTGGGCCATGGAGATGAGAGACACCAAGGTTGCTTGGCTGAATGCAGACACCCCACACCTGGATCAATAGTTCTCTGCATGTTTTCCATTTGAGATTTTCCTTAAACTTGCTATTTTCCCTTTGCATGGACTGTTTCATCGGTAATGGGTTTGATCTGTGACCCTAATACATAAGGACAAAAATTGGCTCAGGCTCAATGATTGCCTTCTCCCCCTGCCCTCACCCCAGTTAGCAGACACTGGCAATGTGAACAATCAGAGCTCTATCCCCAAGAGACGAAGTAGGGCAAGACCTAACTCTGGGAACCAGTATGAGGGGATTACACCCAGATCCATTAGCTGAGTGTAGATGGGCAGCCACTTTGTTTCTGGGAGCTCTAGATTCCTCGTAGAATGATAAGGGTAGAATGATGGCAAAGTCATTGGGAAGACAAGATTACATTG